TCAGGATCACACTCTGCCAGTTCTCCTGGCTTTCTGCATGCAACACACACAGCCAATATCCTAGCCCCAGGGAAAACCCTACTGGGTTAGCCTTAACTTGCCATGCAGCCAGTCCCACTATTCTCTGCAGCTGTTTTTACATAAAGGGGCTGCTCACTTGTTCTGTTTAGCCTGAAAGAGTGCTTGGCACACACCTAGTGGCCTTAAAGAGGCCTGAGATTGCATCACCTGATGGCAGCCATAAACATCTTTCAGTATAACAACAATATTAATCTAATTATAGATAGTCAATGCATATTGCTGTTATCCAAGTTATAGATAAAACAACATAGGAGTAATCTCAGGCGATTCACTTCCAGCATAATTAATGCAGTAAGAAAGGCAGAATCAGTGATTCTCCAGTGATGGAGTATGAAGTATCTGGTCCCTACAAGGGATGGGAATGAGGGACATAAGTCTTTTCCTACCTCCACTGGTAGTCAACTCAAAGGAGCCAGGAAGGAGGTCATGACCCTACCCCTTCCTCCACACCAGAATGGGTGCACACACAGCAAGGAGCCCCTTCCTAAGGGGTGATACAGCAAGTCAATAAACATTTGTTTGTCAATCTCTGGAAAACTGCAACTTTGCACTGCTCTTACCACAGACTTGCGCCTGTCTGGTGCAATCTGGCCCCACTCCTGTGTGAGTGCTTCTATTAATTCAATCAGTCCAGCAGGGGTAGAAGAATACCAGGACTGAAAGAGTTACTGAAGGCCATACAATGACTATTAGACATCGTTGGGTTTCCCAGCATGGATGATTTACACTAGTCAGACTGTTACTCTTCATATGAGCCTTAACATAAATCACATGAGAGGGACAACAATCTCTCCGGCTCTGTCATGACCAAAGCAGTATATTTCAGTTTGTCACCAGCAGACTGATGAAAAAAGAGATGCTAAGGATATTAGGCATGGAGCCAATTCCTATTTCACGTACAATTTTAGAAGTTTCAATTACACACACATATTGAATCCACCATCCTGGGGTCAGGTGTAAGCCCCAAGCCCAAGCAAATTCCCAGATCCAATTCCCACCTCCTAACTTTGATCATTTAAAATCCAAGCACAGAGCTGAATTTTGCAATGGGACACATCAAAGCCCTAGATTCAAACACCTCCAAACTTTGGGACACTCAAAATCTGAATCCAAATTTTGCAGCTTGAGATGAGCTCTGGTTGCTGTATTTTCATAAGTGAAGTCAGCGGTAAGAAAAGCCACAGATACCCTTCAAGGTTTTCTAAGCTGACGGGAGGGCTTGGTCGAAAGTAGGCCAAAGACAGGAACAGATGATCTTCCTGGAGGTTGGATGAACCCTGGAAAGCTGTGGTTTGCTCACTCAGAAGATACACCAGTGCACCCACAAGGGAGGGTCATGGAAAGGGAGACCTTCCAAGGAAGACAGATGAAGGTCACAAAGAGGGAAAAGGCTGGAGAAGTCTAATTGAGAAGGAGGCAGAGCGGCAGCCTATTGAGGGTGACAGAAGTGGGTGGGAATGCCACAGGGCACCAAGGCTGGAACCAGGGGGTCAGGAGCCATGGCACACACACTTTTTAACAAAACTCCCCCCCACACACACACACTTTTTAACAAAAGAAACATAGGCGCTCTCTGCGGGATATTTTAAGTATTAATTCCTCCACCACTTTGACTTTGGCCCCTCTACTTCTACAAAGGTTCCAGTGCCTGAAGGGCCATTGTCCCGTCCCCTCCCTGCTTTAAAATTGGTCTGGGAACGAGCACACTGTGACCTGGCCCAGTTGGCCAGCATCCGGGTTCCACTCTGCATTGAGCCACATGCCAGCAGCTGGGCCCATACCTGTCGGCTACCAAAACTGCAGCGCAGGCTCCTCTTGGTGCCAGGGACCCGCCAGATCTGGAAAACAGGAAGCCAAGAGCTTTGGGCTTGTCAGCAGGGAGAGTAAGGTAAGAAGTATGCATGGAGGGGCGGAATGGGGCTCTGGGAGGGTGGAACTGGTAGGAGGGGCAGGGGCTCTCAGAGCGGGACGGGAGGGCTCCCCCTCCACTCTTGCAGTCCTCCTAGTGCCCAAGCCAGAGGGCCCATTTATGCTTATGAAAACTGAGGAGCAGAAGAAGTGGATGCCTGAAGATTTCCTGCTCCATCTCCTGCCAAAGCAGAAGCGCTGACAGGGGAAAGTGTGCACTGGGGGCAGGGGCTTCTCCATGCTTTAGAAAGGAGAGAAGAAATAAAATCAGTTAAGGAAACTATTATTTTTAAAGCTGGGTGTAAGACACTTTCCTTCTGAGTAGGAGACGTTCCAAACCCTTCCTGACTATTATAAAAGCAATTTTCAAAAGTTCCTATCAAAACTTTTTAACACAGACTATAACAGGATGTCTGGTTCTGAGCCCCTACATAATATTGTACTCTTACTGAGTCACCTGGATATCAGGTGCTGCAATCCTGTAAAGAGACAACCAGCGTGAGGTTGATCTGTTGTGGTAATTTAAGTTAACATTTTGTTCAATATCTTTATTAATGATCTGGAGGATGGCGTGGATTGCACCCTCAGCAAGTTTGCAGATGACACTAAACTGGGAGGAGTGGTAGATATGCTGGAGGGTAGGGATAGGATACAGAGGGACCTAGACAACTTAGAGGATTGGGCCAAAAGAAATCTGATGAGATTCAACAAGGACAAGTGCAGAGTCCTGCACTTAGGACGGAAGAATCCCATGCACCGCTACAGACTCGGGACTGAATGGCTAGGAAGCAGTTCTGCAGAAAAGGACCTAGGGGTTGCAGTGGATGAGAAGCTGGATATGAGTCAACAGTGTGCCCTTGTTGCCAAGAAGGCTAACGGCATTTTGGGCTGTATAAGTAGGGGCATTGCCAGCAGATTGAGGGATGTGATCATTCCCCTCTATTTGACATTGGTGAGGCCTCATCTGGAGTACTGTATCCAGTTTTGGGCCCCACACTACAAGAAGGATCTAATCGCCTTCTATGATGAGATTACTGGTTCTGTGGATGAAGGGAAAGCAGTGGATGTACTGTTTCTTGACTTTAGCAAAGCTTTTGACACAGTCTCCCACAGTATTCTTGTCAGCAAGTTAAAGAAGTATGGGCTGGATGAATGCACTATAAGGTGGGTAGAAAGTTGTCGGGCTCAACAGGTAGTGATCAATGGCTCCATGTCTAGATGGCAGCCGGTATCAAGTGGAGTGCCCCAAGGGTCGGTCCTGGGGCTGGTTTTGTTCAATATCTTCATAAATGATCTGGAGGATGGTGTGGATTGCACTCTCAGCAAATTTGCGGATGATACTAAACCAGGAGGAGTGGTAGATACAGTGGCAGGTAGGGATAGGATACAGAGGGACCTAGACAAATTGGAGGATGGGACCAAAAGAAATCTGATGAGGTTCAACAAGGATAAGTGCAGGGTCCTGCACTTAGGACAGAAGAATCCAATGCACAGCTACAGACTAGGGACCGAATGGCTAGGCAGCAGTTCTGCGGAAAAGGACCTAGGGGTGACAGTGGACGAGAAGCTGGATATGAGTCAACAGTGTGCCCTTGTTGCCAAGAAGGCCAATGGCATTTTGGGATGTATAAGTAGGGGCATAGCCAGCAGATCGAGGGACGTGATCGTTCCCCTCTATTCGACATTGGTGAGGCCTCATCTGGAGTACTGTGTCCAGTTTTGGGCCCCACACTACAAGAAGGATGTGGAAAAATTGGAGAGAGTCCAGCGAAGGGCAACAAAAATGATTAGGGGACTGGAACACATGAGTTATGAGGAGAGGCTGAGGGAACTGGGGATGTTTAGTCTACAGAAGAGAAGAATGAGGGGGGATTTGATAGCTGCTTTCAACTGCCTGAAAGGGGGTTCCAAAGAGGATGGCTCTAGACTGTTCTCAGTGGTAGCAAAGAACAGAACAAGGAGTAATGGTCTCAAGTGGCAGTGGGGGAGGTTTAGGTTGGATATTAGGAAAAACTTTTTTACTAGGTGGGTGGTGAAGCACTGGAATGCATTACCTAGGGAGGTGGTGGAATCTTCTTCCTTTGAGGTTTTTAAGGTCAGGCTTGACAAAGAGCCCTGGCTGGGATGATTCAGTTGGGGATTTGTCCTGTTTTGAGCAGGGGGTTGGACTAGCTGACCTCCTGAGGTCCCTTCCAACCCTGATATTCTATGATGAAGCCAGACCCTATGATGGGGACAATTGCAAGCCATATTCAGTGTTTGTGCACTCTGTCTACATGGCCCTCCCTGCTTCCTTTTGGGGTATAAAAAACAATGGTTTGTCTTATTGTCAAGGTTCCTCCCCCACTCTGAACTCTAGGGTACAGATGTGGGGACCTGCATGAAAAACCTCCTAAGCTTATCTTTACCAGCTTAGGTCAAAACTTCCCCAAGGTACAAAATATTACACCCGTTATCCTTGGAATGGCCGCTACCACCACCAAACTAATACTGGTTACTGGGGAAGAGCTGTTTGGACGCGTCTTTCCCCCCAAAATACTTCCCAAAACCTTGCACCCCACTTCCTGGACAAGGTTTGGTAAAAAGCCTCACCAATTTGCCTAGGTGACTACAGACCCAGACCCTTGGATCTTAAGAACAATGAACAATCCTCCCAACACTTGCACCCCCCTTTCCTGGGAAATGTTGGATAAAAAGCCTCACCAATTTGCATAGGTGACCACAGACCCAAACCCTTGGATCTGAGAACAATGAAAAAGCATTCGGTTTTTACAAGAAGACTTTTAATAAAAAATAGTAGTAAATAGAAATAAAGAAATCCCCCCTGTAAAATCAGGATGGTAGATATCTTACAGGGTAATTAGATTCAAAAACATAGAGAACCCCTCTAGGCAAAACCTTAAGTTACAAAAAAGATGCACAGACAGAAATAGTTATTCTATTCAACACAATGCTTTTCTCAGCCATTTAAAGGAATCATAATCTAACACATACCTAGCTAGATTACTTACTAAAAGTTCTAAGACTCCATTCCTGTTCTGTCTCTGGCAAGAGCAGCATACAGACAGACACAGACCCTTTGTTCCTCTCCCTCGTCCCAGCTTTTGAAAGTATCTTGTCTCCTCATTGGTCATTTTGGTCAGGTGCCAGCGAGGTTACCTTTAGCTTCTTAACCCTTTACAGGTGAGAGGAGCTTTCCCCTGGCCAGGAGGGATTTCAAAGGGGTTTACCCTTCCCTTTATATTTATGACACTTATACCTTGATTTGAAAAAGAAATATTTTCATGCTGTACTTTATCTTTATTTCATGTTTGGCTGACAAGCTGATGTGTATTTGGCTTACGACAGTACCCAGGCATCTCCTAGTGTAGTATGTATGGGGCCAGATAGATTAGACAGATCACAGAAGATGTAATGCAGTCACTGTTTGACCAAATGATTTAGCCACTGAAAATTGGGCAGACTTTGCTGCTTTATGTGTATTCAAATCAGCTGTCCTTTTCCAGCCCTAATTTTAGCTTGTTATCCCAGGACACCAGCTAAGTCAATCAGTTCTTACAATCAGACTCCACTGCTGCTGCAGGATACAAAATAACGAAGAAAAATAGCTGGTCTGCTGGAGTGAGGTAATCTGATTGGCACTACAGAGATGTGGAATAAAGCATAAAAGACTGGAACTTAACCCTTAGAGAGGTATCTGAGCCATGGTTTTGGATTCAGATTCTCAAATGTGACATCCCCCAGAATATGGAGGTGGGTTAGGTTCATTGTTCCAGCTTGAGCCCATTGTAGGAATATGATCAAGCCACAAAACTTGGTCCATTTGGAGCTAGTCGAAGGGGAGAGGGTTCAGACCTCGGAGTTCAGCACCCCTTCATCTCTTGTATTCGCTTCTTTATTTAGCAATTTGTAAAACAAACATAACCACATGTTTTAGGCACACAACTAAAACAATGACAAATCACACACAGTAAGCCAACCAGAAGCTCTCAACATGCTCTTACCCTATTAACCAAGACAGTCTATAAGCAGAATTGTCTATAGCCAGCACCTCCAAACCACATCCGCCCTGCTAATCCACCACCTTCTCAAAAGGTTGGGACAACAAGGAAGGCAGTGGATTCTAGCTCTGTCTAGACCACTAACGCAGCCAGTGGATTCTAGCTCTGTCAGACCAAGGAGACAAACAAGTTCCAGAACACAGTCCTCCGCCTAGACATACTTACATATATAATAATAAACATATGCTGCTAATTGTTCATTTGGTTGGCAGTGTGGAAACTGACAACATTTAATGGGGTAATGGAGAGTTTGTGGTTTGTGAAACAGAAAATTATATAATCATAACAATTATGGCTAAGAGAGACCATTAGGTTAATCCAGTCTGACCTACTGACTGAGGAAGGGTTTCATTTCCAGCATGATAGTATGCATTCCCTGCATATTTGCTGGGCAAAAAATTTTTGACACAGCATTTATTCATGAAAAAATGCAGTTTCAGGTTGACAAACTATTCATCAATCCAACACAAATTTACTTAATAGTTTTGGCCCATTTTTTCAGACTATATTCACAAAGGGACTTACACACCATTCACAAAATCAAGAGAATACAGACACCCTCACCTTGTACTCTATAGCCCTGTAATTAAAGCTCTCACCCAGGAAATAGAAGATACAGGTTCTGTTCTCTTCTCTGCTCAACTCAGAGGAGGGATTTGAACTTGGATTGCTCACATTGCAGATAAGTGCCTTAAGCACAGGGCTATAGGACAGTCTGGAATGGGAACCTCTTTTGTGGAAGCTGTTCCACTTTGAATAACTAATTAAATACTCAGAGTAGGGACTGGCACCCAGGTGTCCCAGGTCCCAACTGAGTGCCCTAACCACCAGGCTATAGAGTCAGTCTCATTTGTTTTCTGGCCTGAGACCTAGAAAGAGGCTCTGTTTCATAGCAGTGAGTTTTAAGGAGGGGTTTGCTGCAGTGGAATGAACATGGTCATTCAGCTATAAAGCACAGCCTGGAACAAGCTTGGGAAACAAGAGTAGATCATGGAGATAAGGCAGTATTCACTGGAGAATGAGACGGTGAGATAGGAGACAGGATTACAGATTTAGTCCAGGACAGAACTGTGGAGTGACTTAACAGTCAGTACAAGGAGTCTAACTTGATGCAGAAGTCAGTGAATAATATGAAGAAGGGGAAGGATGAGATCATAGTGGCAGGCAAGAAAGCTGGATTTTTTTGTGTGTGCGCTAAAATGGTCAGCAGAAAAGTATTGAACAATGTTGCCACTTAAACTGGCATCACAAGGTTTCAGAGACAGTAAGCTGATTTATGTCGGTCTATCTGCAGACTTAGTAAGATGGTGCTGCTTCATTTTACATTAAAGATGCTCTCTTTGCAACTCTAAGGGCCGGAAGGAAGCATTATAAATGTTTAAATTTTGTGGAAACTGATGGGGCCACCCAGAGAAGTGCTGATACAGACCCCAAGTGAAAATGATCCCATTCTCTGAAGTACTGGGTATTTTACCTGAAAAGGCTTATTCATACCTTTTTAAAATGGATTAACGGTGCATGAAACTGACATGATAGTAATGATCAACAGTGTGTGTATAATATACATATCCTTGCCCTCATCTAAGGATTTCCTGGAACTTCATAAACATTAATGAAGACATCCCTGCAATGTATCATGCCACAAAATTCTGATGGGTAAACTGAGGCACGGAGCGGGTAAGTGACTTCCCTAAAATCACAGTCATACAATGAGCAACTGGCAGATTTGGGATTAGAACCCAGGAATCCTGACACTCAGTCCTATAGTCCCACTGCCTACTGAGCAGATGCTGACTGAAAAGAGAAAACTGAAAGAAAAAACAGTTTGTTGGTAGCATAAGTGCAACATCTGTCATAGGAACTTTCAATTAAATATCACTGTGACTGAGGAAGCAGAGAGAAATCTGTATGAACTATAAATGGGGGAACCCTGAGTCCGAAAAACATGCCATGGACAATGTCAAATAGACAAGCTATTTATTTTAGTTCATCAACATATATAGGGACAGTCTTTCCCTTGTCAGAGTTAGCTGAGGGTAGTATGTATCCAACAAGTTTCAAAGGAGATCAGCAGCAGAGACTGTATCTTTAGATGAGAGCATCAGGTAAGATGCTGACCCATGACCAAATGTTTAAATATCCCGCCACCATGTTAAATACAGTATTTCCCAGTGTATGAAGAAAAAAACCACAAATGATTGTATTTCCACTTGTATATAAAATGCAATTATATTTTATCTTAGCCTGTGTGATTTGGGGGGTTATTACTTAATAGAACAAATTAATTTTATAACAGAAAGACTCTACAGTTAATAGCACCATTTACATTCTCCTCTGTATGAATGATGAAGCATAAACTAATTAATACTTGGAATAACTGTGACCCTATCAGTTTGGAGTGCAGGGTGAGGGGGGTTCTGAATAGTAATGCATCATTATCAGCTAAATCTTAACATCTGTTTATTAAATCAATTCAGTACCAGTCAAATGCTATTAATGTCACCTGCATTGTTTTCCTAAGTTCAAATTCAGTCAAACACTGGATTGCCTGTACATGTGAAACAGAGCTGTCCCCCCAGAGCCTAATGAGTGCTACAGCCCTGAATACCAAAACCCAGACAGTAGATTCAGTACTGGCTACAGCAGACACACTGGACACTTGTTGAACAAGTTGTCTTCTATAATACTGTTGGCACAGAGCATAACTCTCTTTTCTGCCAGTTTCTCTACGGAAGAGCTGCTCCTTGAGACTAGTTAAAAGCTACCTATGTTTTCACATACACACACACACACACACACACACACTTTACTTGGTGGAATAAATTATCCATTTCAGGCGCTAGAGTTTTGTAATCACTTTGGATTTTTGTTTTTGCAAGACAAACTACAGGTTATTTACAACAACAGGAAGATAATGTATTCCTTGCTTTTTTTATTTTATTTTTTTTTTTTTTGGTAGTATCTATCTCTTTCTTCAAAGTGAAAAAAAATTCAGTTTCAATCTCGGAGATCAGTGCTGCAAAAATCTATTTCTGGAGCATTTTGATTTTCCCAGTTTCCCCCACTCTGCCCCAGTAGCTTTTGTCTGTCAATTTGGGGTGCTTGTCACTACAAGAGAAGAACATCCAAACCAGCAACAGTAAGCAAGAAAAAACGCACGCTGTGATTTTAAGATCTTTCTAAGACTGTTGCTGCTTTCTGTTGCATCTACATTTTAAAGATAATCATGTTTCTAATCTATTCTGTTGCAGAGAGCCTTCACAATATGCTTTTAACTCTGTGGGCAGAATTGATTCCCCATCAAATGTGTTCAATTTGAAAATTAAAAGATAGTTGGTTATTTCCCCCCAAACTGTAATCTCACCCTGGGATCGAAAACCCAAATAAAGATCTTGATAGCAAATTCTGCCCTCGTTCCACCTGGGCAGCTCTATAGTCTTCCCTCAAAGACATCTGTTCAACCCTATCAGCAGCAGCAAGGCTATGCTGGTATAAATAGAACATGGTTAAAAACTGTGAGATTATGCAGGAGCAGGAATATAATCCTACTCCTTCTCTTAGAACTGTGGTGGTTTATCAGCACCAGCAGGAATTTTTTAAGAAGTCACACATCACTATAGTGAGCAACCATGACTCTGAAGTCACATGGGGAAGAGATCAATTGAGCAAGAAGATGTAATTTTTGCAGCGTCACTTTCCAAAGGAGAACCTCACTTGTAAAAGCTAATAGTGTTATGTTCTTACATTGACACAGCACTTTTCCTTAAAACAAAAGGACACCAAAACTCTTCACAGATCAAAGGCATACACTAAGGTCTTCCCATCACCAACATGCAGCCATCTTTAAGGTGGGGCATCAGAAGTTTGGGTTTGGGAAGCACCTCTTATAATTGGTGGTAGATGCATACTGTTAACCTGGGTGTTGGGATATGTAAGGGTTAAGTAGAGACCTGGGAAACCGCTGGTGCACTGGTATGGTATTTGAGAGTAAAGTCACAGGCAGGCACCATTTCTTCCCTTGATAGATAAGTGTCATCTCTCGCCCTCCCTTTCAGCTTGTTGGGGATAGATAAGCT